CCTTTTGTTGCTTCACTTTTCTGGCAGAGCTGCTCTCTAGCACACACTTAAGGGCCAAAGCAAGCTTTAATGATTGATGAAAGTAGTCCTTTCAACCCAATGTTACACACCTTGAAATGCACTTCTTTGAAAAAATATAATTGAACAATTATCCTGACATTTCAGTTGTATAAGTCCATTTGATTCTCTTTAACGTGTTTATTTTTACAAGTGCCAGTCATCTGCTGTAGATGATGAAGAAGCCTTTTTCTTGCTTCAGCCTACTTTACTTAACTTTATTGAACGCCCACATAAACATTTTTTTAATTAAAAGAGCTCCATCGGATCTTTATTTTTTTAGATGAGTTGAATGTGTTACTGCAAATTTAACTCTATAAGTTTAGATTTGTTACACCTTGAACTGCTGCTTGTGTTGACACATTGCAGCAATTTGTGATGCCAGTTGGTAGATAACGCGCCAGTAAGAACCCCACAAATCCTTGAAACTACCCTTTAAAGATTGATGTGAACTTACCCAGAGGGCAGTTTGTTTTTACAGTACATCCGATAGTACTTTAGAGCTGCATCAGAGTTCTGGAGCCCATCTGAGTTAAAATAACATAAAGTCACAATATACACAAGTTGCATAGAGATGATTGGAAAATTGCATGTAGCAGGTCTCTTCGCAGTGTAGGGGTTGTTATGGTGGCTTTAGGAGGCACAGCTTTTGCAAAAGCCTCACAAAATTTCCATCTCAGGCAGCAGCAACCAGCAGTGGCACCCTCAGCACTAACTCTGACAAAATCTTGATTGTACAGAAGTTAAGTAAATGTGTGCACTACAAAAAATACTAAATAAACTGACTATGATGTATGAAACAAAATTTACATGAACCTGCCAGACCACTTTTACAGCAGTAACGTCCATCTACCCTCCATCAATGGTTAGTATTAGACATTGCTGATTAGTAATTGATTTTGGAATACAACATTTAGGCTACCAAATCTTGGATACAAAGATCTTCTAATCGCAGCTCATTGACTTCATGTTGGCAAAGACAAAGATACATAGCTCCTAGTTAGCTTACAGCAAGACTCCAGAAGTCCATCCTTTTAATCACGCCCTGTAGGCTTGAAAGGTGGAAACAATGGATCCTCTTTTAGCAAACAGCAGCTCTTTTCAGCTTGCATTCCATTTACAACATACTCAAACACCACTTGACAAATAAACTATCAAATCATCAATAGCCCCTTCTGAAACCAGTCTGGCAAAATCCTCCACAACACACACGTCTATCTCTATGCCCCCCAATACTTTCGCCACAATATGGGTCAATACACAGCTTCTTTTATTTATCTCTCTCTTAAAGCATTCACACTTCCAAGTGTGCTCACAAGAACAAAAAACAGCAACATGACTATTCATTTATCACTTTTGGGCTTGAAGACCCCCCCACCCCCACTAAAAAGTAACGGTTCAGCAGCTCATTTTAGAAATGAATCCACCATGGATCAATCAGCCAGACTAAAAACACTGCAGCCTCTCAAACCAGATGATGCTATAATCCTATACAGAAGACTATAGGCTATATAGTATTTAAAATCATTACAGTATATAAAATAAAAAAAGTATCTCCCAACTTTTTAACTAATAGCATATTCATAACAGTAGCAAGAAGTATGTTTTTGTACAAAACATATAACGTTCCTTAACGTCACCTGTTGAAATAAAAAATTCTAGTTTCTCCCAGCTTTTGAACAGCTGTTTCTCTGCATATGCATTTATAAGAGCAGTATTCAGTGTTCTTTAACCACTCTGTCCCGAGTGCATGCATCACTGGTAGTAGTGGCTGGAGTTTCTTTCTACAAGTTTCACGTTGCTGTGCTGCTTTAGTAGATGCTTCAATACATTAGATGTAGGATTGTTCGCAGTTGAAAGCTTTTTGCTGGTCGCACAAACTTTACAACAGATGTTCTTTGTATCTTAGACTGTGACACAATAATCGCAATACTTAACAGCTGTCGAAAGAACGCCTATTTCTATGGTTCTCTCTTCTACCTTTAGCCGTGAGGCTAACAGCTAACCTGAACAACATAAGGTCTGGCTTCTTGACTTGAACTGTCCCTGACCTGCCACACAGTCACACATTCACGACAACAAAACTTAGTACTCAGTCTTCAATAGCAAAATTATTCATGTCATCGGTTCAAGAAATCCATTCAGAATGCATTTCTTTCTTGTTATAATCTTTATTGTAATATTGAAATTGCATATCGTAATATCTTAATAGCACTTGTTGTAAGTATGTTTGAAATTGATAAAAGTAATAACCCAACCAGATGGCCGCCCACCCTGAGTCCTGTACTGCCTATTAAATGGGAGTTTTTCCACCACTGTCATCAAGTGCTTGCTCATGGTGGAATTGTTGGTCTCTGTAAATGTAAAGAGTACGGTCTAGACCTGCTTTGTATGAAAAGTGCCTGAGATAACTTGTGAGGCAATATAAACAAAATTGCATAAATATCCAAGTCCTTTAAAACTGAATGCATATACACAAAAAGGGGTTATCTAACAAGAGGCCAATGGATTGAAGTGGTTAAACCTTGACTATGTGGAGGAGTGGGAGTGATGGATGCAATTTAATGGCTCACATTAACTTCCTAGAGGGCCTCACTCTCACATCTTCAATTCCCTCGCTTGTTTTCTACCTTCATTGGAGCAGACCAACTTCTTAATTGGCATAATAATGTAATTAATTGCTTTCTTGTCACTGGGCCCACTGAGTTTTACACTGTAAAGAAGTATAAATCAGGCGTGTATTTACAAGCAATCAAATGCTCATGATCAGAAAGGAACATATAAAAGATGTCCAGCTGTGCAAAGTAATTGGTTCTACTTATTAGCTGTGTATCATTAGTTGAAAGGAAAGACATTTAAATGAGGAGGATGAGTTATTTTGGCATGTAGTTTATTTTTTCTTATCAGCTAAACATTAAAATGAAAACATCTTACTGAATGTAGTAATAAACCCCACATTGTATAGAACTGTATTTATTTTATTTTAATCTTTTAGGGACCTCTCTAGTGCAACAATATCAGTAAAGATTTAGATTCAAATTCCCCATGGGTTTACAATAGTGTTTAGCAGTCGCAGCTTTATCAAACAGGCTGAAATAGAATGTAAAACATGCATTGACGATGCCAAGTTCTTTCAGAGACGGTGGCTTTGGACTGGTATTGTGTAACGTTATTAAAATCAGATTTCACTTATTTTGACACAAGCATCACATCTCATTTTGATTGGAAATATGCATATATAGTGATGTACTATTGAAAAATTAAACCACATAAAAACAAATAAATATATCATGATTATAAAACTAAAACTTAATTTTAACAGTATTCATTCAAGGATACTTCTGACATGGGACTCATGAGCAGGGTGCGGATTGCGGGTGAGCCAGGGGGAGCTTAGCTTCCCTTTATAAGACATGAGCTCCCCTAAAAACATGATTTGTGAAATTTTGAGGGGTCTCAAAAATATTGACAGTATACTTTTTTGCCATTATTATAAGACATTATAAGACAAACAATGCCTGATACTTTCACATTCAGCCCAGGCTTACATGCTTGCAGCTATTAATGATTCAGCAGTAAGAATCACAGTAAGTCAGGGCTGGGTTGGGCTGTAGTAGTTACAAACAAATGCTGATGAAGCTCTGATGTCTATAACAACATCCAGGTGCTTTATGGTCACACAATTAAGGAGCATCACTTTTGTCTTGATCGGTGTGCATCTTGACACCAGGTGGCAAATGGTGTGCTAATGCATCCTTATGAATCAAGGTCTAGCTTGTGGCAGGCGGGGGAATTGATAGCAATTTTTCCGTTGAATGACAGATTGTCAATGAAAGGCTATTAAATCACATTATGTGCACTGATATACCATATTTCAATCTGAATCAGGATCAACTATTTTCTAAATACAATATATATACGGGCATTTGTCAAAATAACACTAGAGATATATACAATGTTGAAAGAGGAAGGGAAGTGAAGGAACGGTCTCCATAAGAATATAATGTAACAAGGCGGAAAGAGTTTAATATCATGCTAGTGATGGCTGTGCTTTGAGTACATTTGTCATGTGTCATTTGTGTCTAATATTGTCATATTAAGCTTATTTGGAGAACTACATCAACATCGAGGTATTCACTTTGTACTGTCAAAGACATTTGGCTCATCTGTAATATCAAGGGCAGACAAAAAGGGGATTATTATAAATTCAGCAAAATCACCCTTTTGCAGCCCATCAATATTCTGTGGCCATTTTGAGGAACTGGGTTCAGGCTTAACGAGGGGATCCAACGGATAAGTGATCAAAAAACAGGACAGCTATTGTCCTTGAACTCTTAATGGCGTACTAATAGTGCAGGGTGTCAAGAGTGATTTTAACAAGAGTATCCTGAGTCAAACTTTTTTTTAATCTCTCTGCCTTTGGACTTGGAGGAGATAACGGTCTCCTCTCTCCCTCTGTCTCTCTCTCTCTCTCTCATCACTGCATTACCATATCAGGCACGCCTTTTGCATAATCACCATCCTCTGTGTTTCCTCCCGCAGTCTGGAAAAGGGGACTCATTATAGTAGAGAGAGTAGCAGGCAGGCAGGGGCCAGTGTGCATTGCGTAGGTCACACTGTTTTCTAGAGACTCTGAAAACATCAAGAACTTCTACTAAAATAAATCTTTAAACAAAAAAATCTTACCATGGATAAATGGTAAGCACAGTACTGACACAGTCTTGGCACTGCCTTGCTGGAGTTTAAATAGAATAGATATATAACATGCGATTTAAAACTGAAAACTGCTTTCTTGTCTCCTCCTATGTCCATCTAATTTCCAAGCATTGTGTTTTAAAGATCTTTGAAATTGTGATCTTTATGTATTGTTTCTCAATGTGGCTTTCAAGCATGCCCATCATTTTTCATTTTATTTATACTTCTTCCCTTTACTATCCTGTTAGATAAAAGACTGAAAACAGGGACGACTACAGCAAAAGAAGGGAGAAAACAGCAGGCCATGGCCGAGGGGATGATTGTTTCTCAAAGTGGTAAGTGGCAGACATTTACAGTCTCTTAGCTGTTTTGTTTCACAGACTTGTGTGTTCATTTTGAATGATTCTATTATTTTTGCATCACTCCTGGTGCCTTTATGGTAGAGAGAAAAGGACATATAACGTAAGCGTAAAAAGCCCTCTCTGTGTTGTTCTCTGTTTGGTCAGAGTGGCATGATCTTGTTACTCACTACCTGCAACCATCTTGAACTTGTAGTTCTTAACTCTGACCTAACCATTTCTACTTTTTTTCATTCCACACTTTTAAAGTATACTTTATTAACCAGAGACCTCAAGTCAAAGACCCATTTTGAACCCATAAGAATACAATTTCCTCATAAGCCAATGGAAGTTACTGTAAAGGGCTTTGCTGGACTGCAATTGTATCACGTTTTATTCCCTTTCAGCTAAGTGACACTGGACCTGTTCAAGTCTTCCAGCTTCATTGGCTTTATGTGCTCTGTGTTACCGAGTTGCATTGTTGAGTCAGTGTCCCCCGTTGCAGGATCTCTGACAGCTGACACACAAATCATTGCTGAATAATATTTTGATCCCGCATCACTGCAGCCAGGACAAGCGGGTCAAAACAGCAGGATGTGTGCCATCTAATGAAAAGGGGTTCACATTGTCACTGTGGATCCTCTGTCGCACCAGGAGCTTCCTTTAAATTTACTATGAGTCTATGAACTCTTTTGCGGCTTCTAAAGAAAGCACGTATGATTCATAAATAATTAAAGATTATGGATCACAAAGTACAGCGAGTACTGTGTATTTCTCTTCATGTGTTACTTTCAGATTATAATGTGAAGTCATTATGTACTTATGTATCAGCTTAATGAGTGTGACATTTGTCCTGTAAATTAAACAGTTACTGATATTTTAAACCAAGGAAAAAAAAATATATATATATATATATATATATATATATATATATATATATATATATATATAAAATCAGGTAAAAGCTGATCTCTCATTTTCAGTTCTTAATGCATCTTCAAATATCAAGTCATAAGGAGGATTGGTTAAAGGGAGAAAGCCATTACAGATACATGTTAAACCGTTTTAATATTAGGACGTGAATTCTGCAAAGGTTTGTGTGGATTTCATGTTTACTGCACTATACTTTAAATCTAAACATCACTGAAGTCCTCTTTTTTTTTTTTTTTCCTGCCGACATATCAAAGTACAGTAGCTCCCTCCCTAATTCAGCACTCACTAAAGATGGTTACTACCAATAGATATACTGGAATTGTTGTAATACATTGATTTAGTTTGACACTATATACTGACTGATACCTCTGATGACATTTGCACTGTAAATTACATTGTTAAACAGCACAGAACAGTGCATCCCCTTAGGGCGTGTCTGTTTTGAATGCAGATCCATAAATCTTAAGCCAATTCCAGTATTCATGCAACAAAAAGATTATGTTGACAAGAGTTTTAATTTACAAGTCAAACTCCAGTTGACTTCATCTGCCTGTAGCCGAGCTTTTGTCAGATTTTAGATTGCATGTGTGAGTGCACATTTGTAAGTATGTGTGTATCTGTGTGCAGGCATCTGTGCGGGGAGTGCACCATTACTTGTGTGTATGTTTGTGAGCTCGAACTTGGGTGCACGCATGACCGTGTAGGCAAGTGCGTTTGCATCTGTATTTAGGAGAGAGGAAGAGATAGAAAAGCAACATAGGTGATGTTGTGTGAAGAGACAGGAGGCTGCAGACAGATAGTGTCATTCCCTCAGTATCACCATTAAATCTTAATCTCCTGGCCCCTCATGGGAGGAGCCAGCCGAGCATGGGATTGTGTTTTGCATCTAAATCAAGATGTCGTGTTCCTTCAGAGACGGCTTTATTGAGACAAACTTTGATGTGTCTGTTCTCAACTTCACATACGTCTGGATGCACAGGCTTATCATCCAGCTGCTGCTGTTTGCACAAAAGTCTTGTTAAATTCAATTACCTTGTAAACTGTAACATCTCTAATCAATTAGGCAGAAACAGAGAAAACTAAACTCCCAAGGGAATGTAGTTAAGTTATCAACCACTGTGTGGCTGTTTCAGCAGGCTGCATCATGGGGGCTGAGGTGTAATTACATATAAAGAATTTTAAATTTTTCCCGTAATACTCAGTGGCAGACAGAATCACCATATTTTCTTGATGATCAGCATCTAAAATGCACTCTATAAAGTACAGTATTGCAGCAAATATTGGTTCTTGGACTAATATGGTCTTGTCCTTCTCATATACTGAATGAACTGTGCTAGTAAAACCCTGTTTCATCGATTTTGCATTCTGGTAATGGTCCTAGAAATGACAGAATTAGAAAATCCACTGTACAACTTGCAATAATTGTAATAACAGTTGTAGTAATTGGAAAAACTAAAAGTTTGAGTAAATTGGATTTTGGGACTGTGCAGTTACTCGTTTTTATAGCTCTGAAATTGTCGGGAGTGGTGTTTAAGTAGTGAATTTTAGGAATAGTCTGCACTCACTGTAAGAATAACAAACATACGTTGTTTTGACAATGATTGTAATTTAGATGTTGACAGTTGTCATGTGACATGTCCTAGTGTATGGGCCAGCTCTGGTGCAAGATTACCAGGGCCCGAGCACGGAATGTGCGAGGTCCCTATTGAAACTTTCTTTCTTTCTTTTTTTCTGCAAAGTAACCTCAATTTTGGGGTCCTAAACATACTCGAAAACTCACCAATCTTTGCACATAATTCAGTATTTTATGGGTTTCGTGCATGGGCATGGCAAAATGTCACGCTAGCACCCCATACAGGGCAGCCCCTGGACAAAGTTTCACCTACGTATACGAAATTTCTGTGGTACGTGTCCAGAAGTACAATATAGCCTCTTGGAGCCATTGCCAATACCCAACAGGACGTCAGCCAATTTGTCTTTAATGGTCATTTTTGGCGATTTACACACTTTTTTACTTTAACAAACTCCTCCTAGGGAATTAGTCTGATCGACTTAAAATTTTCGCTGTGCAGTCTAAACCCATTGTCAATTAAAAGACAAACGGTTATTAACAGTCAACTAGTTTTCCCGTGGCGTGCTGTCAAAAATTGATGATTCGCCATGAAACAGGAAGTTGTTGTAACTTCAGTCTACATGCTCACATCTGCACCAAATTTGGAACGTTGTTATGTACTACTCCTAGCAGGTTGGAAAATCATTAACACAATTTGTGCTTTTGCAGTTTTCCAGTGCGGTGGCGTTTCACGCTTCGCCATGGCACAGGAAGTTGTTGTAACTTGACTGTACATGCTCAGATCTGTACGAAATTTTAAACATTTAATAAGAACAAGTATATGCCAACATTCACCCATAGTCATAGCACCACCAGCTGGAAACAGGAAATTACGTTTAAAGAAGCAGCCCCCGTGGCACATTTCAACTACATGTATGAAATTTCTGTGGCACATGTATCATGTCCAGATTTACCTATAAAAGACTCTTGGAGTGATGCCCTAAACCTAACAGGTAGTCAGCCATTTTGAAATTCATGGTCATTTTTGGATGATTTACAGACTCCGTACTTTAATTAACTCCTCCTAGGGATTTAGTCTGACCAACTTCAGATTTTTGCTATAGTCTAAACCCATTGACAATTAAAAGTTGTACAAATGGTGAGTTTTCGTGGAATGGCGTGCCCGTGGCGTGGCATCCAAAATCGATGATTCGCCATGGAAAAGGAAGTTGTTGTAACTTCACTGTACATGCTCACATCTGCACCGCACTTTGTGCTATGTAGCGCCACAAAGGGGACACAGGAAGTGATGATTAACACCTTTGTGCAGCATCCGTAGTGCATGGCAAATTCACCAGCAGAGCTCCAGAACCTGTAACACGGCCGCCTCACACCTCGACTCACTACACATCAGAGGGCCAAATATGCATTTGTATTTTATGTAACAAATTCATCCCCCTGTGAACATTCCCCCAGGTAACTGAAACTCAACACAGCACGAGTCAAGGTGTGACCTAAACCTTTCTTATGTTCTACTTTCTTCTTCTTATCAATTTTTTCTCCTGCACTATTGTATGTTTGTCATCGCTGGCAAACGTTAAGCTTCTCAGAAAAGTAGAGATCAAAACTAAACACAGCACCTGGCCCTTATCGCAGTGAGGTGTGCTTCTTCCACATGTTCTCTCTGCACGGCCTTCCCATATTCTCAGTTGGGAGAAGACGTGATCAGTAGTCAGGGCACATTGTATTACCCATTGGGTTACCCCTCAAAATTCCCACATGCCACACTTCATTCCCTGTGAGGCTACACAAAAAACTGTGACAGAGCTTTTAATTATGGTTAAGGCAGAAATATGAGTGTTTATCCAGAGGGATTAGAGATTCTGGTGCTGACATTTGTGGATAGAGGACATGATTCGTTTTTTTCATTGGTTGTTGTCGTCGTTGTTGTTGTTGTTGTTTTTTTCTCCAGTGAAGTGCTACATTTCCCCCAACATCAATTGGATATGGTATTATTAGATCTGGCTGCACACTTTCAGATATGAAAGGGAAAAATAATCTCTCTGAAAGAGGTAGGCTCTGACAGCACACTGAGATGTAATAGAAAGCCTAGCTGCTGTTTCAAAGAGAGAACACAGTAAGAAAAGTGGTTTGGAGAGGGATGCCTGCTTACTGCAGAAAGAAGACAAGGATAAACCAGCAAGGATGCTCCGTTCATTGTCTACTGTACCTAGTCCTGACTTATTATGGATATGCTTTTCTTTCCATGCAGCTCATTTCTTGTAGCTTAAAGGCAAAAGCTCCCTCTTGATTCTAGGACAACTGTTATTTAGTGAACAATGCGGGGGAAATCTAATATATAGGAAATAAAAGAAAAACATACAGCATGTGCTGTCTTGGAATGTGCCAGTGATTATTGTGAAATGCCAGAAATTCAAATTCTTGTCTGTGAGTAGATATTAAATTTGTTTTCATCATAATGAGGTCCATTGGTCTACCCGACATGGATGCA